CTGGATCAGAATCAGGGCATTCCTCCAGCTGCCTGATGCAGATTTAAACACCCGTTTTTCATTAAGTAAGTGAGAAGGAGCAAGGTGGACAACCTGGTGAGCATGTGATGAAATGCATTTCACACGCATCATGATGCACACATTGCACTACTAACATAGCTGAGAGAGCTTGGCAAGCATATTTCAGCTACTAAGATGCAAGATCTGCTCTAACCTCTCCAGGTTCATGTGGACATTCACAGAGCTTCCTCTGGTAGGTGGTCTCATTGATATTACATGGACATACTTTCTGCCTGGCCAGGAAAGGGATTAAAAGCTGGGGTAAGCAGCCAGGCCAACTGGAATCCACAAGTTTTTGGACTTTAGAAATTTCTAGAGCAAGAACGCAGAAGCTGGTCTTGAAACCAAAACAGGGCAAGCCCAAGGGTCAAAGATGAAACCACTTCCCAGGAATACAGAGGACACTCATTGCCTGCGGTTTGTGAAAAAAAAAGTCACCTAAATCTATCTGTTTCCTTAGCCTGAGAGGCAGAATTAGTGCATAATTCATGAACCGTCTTCTGAAGGGAGCCGGAAATGATAGCTAAATCCTGGGAGACTGATTTTAGAAAAGTGCCTAGCTCACAGTCCCGTGTCTGGCCTCAGCCGGCAGCACTGTGACTGGAGTGGCAGGAGACTGCCAGCTGGCCTGCAGCGATGTGAGGCAGCCAAGCTGTGCCAACACTGCCAAAACAATAAAAATGCATTTGCAAAATGAAGTCTTGTGTTTCATCTCCATTGTTTCCCAGAGCATGGAGCTATTCCTATCTAAAAGCTGAAAATACAGACTGGGCTCTACCCTTTCTTGACTATCACCTTTTTATGAAACACCACCCTGGGCAGAGGCCTCAGACATCGGCTTTCAGGTGAGACTCTGCCAGTGCAAAGTGGAAAAACAAATCCAGTCCTAGAACCAAGGCATCTGGCCTGTTTTCAGCTTCCACTTAAGCACAGGTGATTGCCTTACCCCCTTGCCAGTTGCCAAATGGGCAATGGCAACCCGTCCAATCGGCATGTTCATCAGTTATTTGTTCATCAGCTGTCTATAGTTCAAGGAATGTTATTCTGAGACACCTAAGTTAGCTCCTCCTTGACTGTCATTTCAGCACAGACAAGGCACTTGAGCATTTTGCAGGCATTTGGGCAGTTGGTAACTGCAGCCCAGCAGTGGAGCTGGTTGTGGGACGCAGTGGATGTAACCACCCCGCTGGGACACAAACAGGATGCACTTACCTGGCTACAAGCTTGAAAGCTAAGTGCTTGAATGAGCTGCACACCAGCTACCGCCTAACTGCCCCGAGTCACAGGTACCTGTCGACTTCTCGTCGGAGCTGACCAAACTCACAAGCACTTGATCACAAATAAATAAGTCTCAGCCTCCTACCAGCCAGATAAGAGTTCGGAAGAAAAACACCCTGGCAATCTTTAAAATCTTGCTGTCCAAGTTCAGCTACACTTGACATACAGTTCTGCCTGGGAAAGGAGGTATTATGATTATTTCAAACTACTCTGCTTTTTTTTTTTGGGAAGCACTTTTTATCTCTCTCCCCCTGCCCTGCCTCTCTACACGTATACATAGACAATGATCTGAAAGCATTCAAGAGAAAATGCTTTACTTTTTCCTGAAAGCCCTCTGCTGAAGGTGGTGTTTCCCCACCTCCACGCTGCTGACAAATGCTGATGTAAACAGTATGCATATGCCCATCTAAAAGGCCACAGGGGTTTTCACGTGAATCCTGTGTTTTTTCCACAAACCCTGTTACACTATGTTTCAGCTTAAAATATATCTCCTTGTTTCTGGTTAACCTACAATCCCTTTAAGGCTAATACAGTTTACAGCAGTAGGCAAAACCACTTAGCAGAACCAAATTTTGAATACAGGTACTTCAGCTGCAGAGATCTGGCATGAAACCTTTTCAAGAAACAATTGTAATTATGGCCATATTAAAATCAGAGAAACCAATACTGACATAAATCACATGTTGAAATTGTTTGAAAAAAACACCAGCTATGCCTTCAGTGTTGACAGGAGTGAAACATGCCATTTATAACGCCACTGAAATCATAACAGGAAGGAAGTAGACCTCAAAAACTATAAACAGAAGTTAACAGAAGTAGGAAGTACTTCAAATGCTTTCACGTAGTGACTGTAAAAAAGATACTAAAAGGAGAAAACGTTTTCAGGGTTTTTTCTTGTTTGCTTTTTGTTTTTCCACTTTACGTATCCATGAGTTATTTTGAACAGTAAAAGATCGTCACGAAAGTCAAATGAAGCTGTAAAGTCCTCACGTGCAAAGTAATTTATGGTACAAATTAACAGCTTGATTTTCCTTCCACTCTTCCCTCTGCCCCATCCCTCCAAGAGAAATATCTCAACCTCTTTGCTTGGTTAAAGCAAGTCTTTCACATGCATGTCTCCACATTGAAATGAAGCAAGTTGTGTTTGGCCAGAACATAGACAACGCTCTTCTCCCTCCCTCTTCACAGCCGCTGACTTTAAAACATGCTCCTTCAAGGAAAATAACTGAAAGCTCATTCCAAAGCAAAAAATTATAACGCACCTCAGTAGTCAACAGAAGCCTCCACATAAAGAAAAAATGCCTGCCCCCCCCCAATCTTCAGACACTTCACAAATCTCATAACTACTTTTCACACCTTGCTCTGTCTGTAATCTACCATACCCAAGGACCTTTCTCAGGACCCTGATTTCCAGTAAGCAGGGGCTGCCTGGTGAAATTCACTCCTATTCTTAATTTCACTCTTTTAGTTCTCTTGTCATCCTCCTTTTCACCCTTTCCCAGCTTTTCTCACTTGAAAGCACTCTAGAAATCATAGTGATGAGTAACCACCACCTCCAGCTCCAGCTGCCAGCCCGACAACCCGTGGGTCAGAGTCCTCAAGCACTGGGCTGGGCAGGGTTCCCAGCCCCGGAGGCCATGGAGGGGCAGGGGCAGAGCCCTCAGGTGTGTGGCAGCACCAGATCCCCAGCTGCAGGGCTCTGCTGCATCTTCCATGGTCCGGGAAACCAACAGCCAAAGGGCAACATCCCTCTTTTCCCTTGTTCTACTAACTGTAGCTAATATTGCAGACATTTTAATGAGAAAAAATCGTTACCTTTTGACCTTTCCCTGCACCTTTGGCTTAAAACACAGTTCCCCATACACTTAGCCAGCAGTGCTGCCCAGGTTCAGAGTGCAGAACCGCACGCTCTAGATTTGCCTCGCTACTGAAAACAACACATACAAATCGAGTTGGTAGGGAATAAAGACTTTATTCTAAGACGTGAGCTGAAGCAATGAGCATATGAAGCAATGAGCATATGAAGCAACGACCACTAGAAAAAAGTGAAAAAACACATCAAATATTTGTATTGTATCAATTCAATTTGAACACAAAAGTCCCTTTCAGTAAAATGTATGCACAGGCCACAAGCATAGGCAGAAGCTCTGAAGGTCACCTAGAGCAGTGCTTTTAATGTCTAGAAAGAGGTCTCCCCTATGAAAATCTTTAAGCCAGGAAAAACACTTCAAGTAGCAAAGAACACAAAAGTGAAAATGATCTGTTAATTCCGCTTGGCACTCTGGAGAAGGAGGGGGATAATATATCCCAAAAGAGTATGCATCTTTAAGATGTATAAATTCAAAGTCCCTAGAACACAAGTCTGCTGCCAGACCAAGTACCGGTTTTTCTTCCTCATTTAGAAAGTCAAGTGAATTATGTCTGTCAAGCATAGGGTGATCATGTTCTGGAGTTAAAGCTACTAAGATCACATGGTCTGCTCACCAGTGAGGAAATTTCACTGACATGCATACCAAATGACCTCTTCTCTTTGTCTTTATAATGGCACTCTATCATTAAAAGCTGCAAATTGCATCAAAATATACTTCTGCAAAATTCTTGAAAACAAACATTAAAACGAGTATTTCCTTGACTGTGTTAATACGGGAGGCCAAATGCTGCTCTCCTTGAACTCTCCCTTCACATTCATTTCAGTACCACTGGAAGGAAGCTGTGAGTGCACGTGAAGAGCAGAGCTCTTTGTAAGACAGAGGTGGTAGTTATTTTAACCTGTCTCATGCATGTGACATCAAAAAAGGGCTAGCAGGACCATTTCTGTGCTAGTTTCAAGGTCTGCCAACTTAATTCTAATGCATACATATATATATAGCTTTCAGTTATATGAAAAATGTAACTTATTTTTAAACCTGCTTTTCGGGACTTTAGAATTTCATTGGTTAATCCACTAAATCCACAGGTAATATGAGCTGAACAGTAACTTTTCTTAACAGAGTACCATAAATGCATCACTTTAGAAACTGCTATTATGGGGGCTAATCCAGTAACAACAGTGGCAGCAACAAAATTCACTGTCAGGACAAATATCAGTCAGGCATTAAAAAAATATGGCTCTGAAGAATTTCATTGTTTTTAAAAAATACACTGAAATATTCTATACAAGAATATAGGCATCACACTTATGAATCTAAATTGATAACCACTTACATGTATTAGCTATTCTCAATAATCCATCTACGTTTGCTACCCACCTATAGTAGCTACAGTTTCAAATTAGGAACACCACAAATTTATGTACCTTCCCTGAGATCAGTAATCCAAAATAAATAGCCCTGCAAATGTAACAGTGTAAACTCTGGATTTAAGTCTTCAATAAGAATCAGTCCTCAAAACCCAAGGAGAACATAAAGCAAACGTAAACATAGCAATCATTTTGTCAGTTTTTAGTTATTCTCAGAGACAGTGGAACTTATGTGAGATGTAGCATCCAAACGTTGAAGACCCGTCATTTGTAACATACAATATGGTTGTCCTAGTTCACTTCCCTACCATTGAACCCCCGAACACATCCAGCTGTGATTTGGATGTCCAAATTGTGACACAGATCTGCTCCTCCACTCTGCATAATCTTTACAGTGCCTTTAAAAATACTCTTTCTGAGGATCTTATTCTTGAATAGAGGAATGGCGAATAGATCTGTGATAATCCTCTGGACTAGTCACAAGTTCTGGTAAATCATAGCCTCTCAGAAGATGTCCACTGTTTTGTTGAGCAAAGTAATACAGCTGCCTGGCAAACATTGGTTCAACCTTAAGAACAGACAAAATGTTAATCAGACATGTGAGAAAATGTCACGCTCCTCATCTTAGTTATTTACACTGGGTTTAACTTAAAAAAAAAAAAAAAAAAGGGCAGGACAAAACAGTTCTGCTTACCAGAATGGGAATACAATTTCAGTGGTCTCACTAATCTCTGTTTCAAGATAGGGCTTGCCTGTTCTGCTGCCAAGTACCTTGCTAACTGCACACAGTCCCTACCTCCACAGTCTTCCTTTACAAGGTACATACCAGTGACACAAATGATGTATTAGCAATTGCTGCCCCTGAGCCAGACCCTGGGTGTGAGCAATGCACCTCTGTGACCACTCAATGTGTTCAAATGCATACACAAAGCACTGAAAGTCTCCATTGTAAAAGACTTTGAGGACTTAACTTGAAATGCTGGAGTCCTCAGGCAGACTGAGATACTGTCATCAAACGACTATGTTTGAAATTAGGCTTCAATCTAACAGCAAGGCTACCCTTGTTTCTGTTCATTCAAGCTCTGATGAGGAATCTGTTCAACCACCAAGAGGGATTTGTATGATTTAACACTGCCTTCAGTTCTGTCTCTCCAGAAACCACTGTTCCCGCTCAGGCCTTTGTGCTCTCACTGCAAATATTGAAGTTGCACACTGAGAACAAACACCTGAAGCTCTCCTTACTCTTGGAGGATGGACAGGTTGGACAACTTTTCTCCACAACCCTCTCCAGCTGGTCAGCCACCCTTCCATGTTAAGACATGGGGACCATTTTGGAGGAAAAATATGCTGTCTGTGGATCCCTTCTGGCTCTTAAAAAAAAACACTGATCCCTCCTTCCTTTCCTCTCATCAGTATTCAGAGGCCCCGCCATGGGGAAGATGGGAAGGCAGCGGGGCAGGTGAGCCGGAGAGCTCCCGGGCCATAGCTGTTTGGTGGGATGGTGGAGCCCCATCAGCCCACAAGCCACGACAGCCCAAGAGGTTGAAGAGCAACCTGCAAGGGGGAAGCAAATCTCTGGGAAGAGCAGGACATACAGGCTCCCAGAGAAGCTGCCAGGACAGGAGATGGAGAAGGCAGCTGGAGGGGGCATGCTAGGAAGGAGGGATGGAAATTTGGAAAACCAAAATCAGGATGGAAGAGAGTTTAAGGAGAGACGGGGACAGAGAGCTACCTCTAACCAGTCATTGCATAGCTCAGGATGGATTTGTGAGCTTCCCACCTTCCACCCCAGACACTCACTAAGCAGGAGTGTGGCAGTACAAAAAAGGGGAGGCCATGGCTTATGACAAAAGTCTGACTTGGGACCCATGCTGCTACTGAAGGGGCTTTCAAAAAATTAAGAGAGACACCAATTTTCTTCCTAAGGATGCAATAAGCTAAGCCCTGCCACTAACATATGCACTATCACCTCTCCTGTGGTTTTATGGGCCAATACAGCCAATTTAGAAAGTACCTGGTCTCAGTCTCTGTCATCACCCTCTCTCAGATAGCATCCCGAAACACTAGCTTTGAGTGTGTGTGAACTGTGGTCAGTCAGCCAGCTACCTTAACCCTGAAGCTGCACAGGCAGCCCCTGCATCCCATTAAGGGCTGAAGTCCCTGAGACGCAGGCTGGGATTCTGGAGCACCTTCAGGTGCAGCGGTTGTGAAAGCACCATGTCCTGCACCAGCCTGGCAGCACAAGACGCCATGCAACTGGGCCAGCGATAACAACATGGGCCAGCGATAACAACATGGGCCAGCTCTTCCAGTGTACCTTTCAGCTTTAGGTTTTGAAGGGATTTGCAGGGGATCACAGATGACACTTATGTTCTACAGAGACGGAAATCAGGCACTCTGCCCTACTGAGGGCTACCAGTCAGTCCTTGGCAGATCTGGGGATGCAACTCTGGTCTGGATGGTGCTGCATTTTCAAGAATTTATTACCTCCCTCACAACCTACACGAGGTAGAAAAGCCTGACTGGCAGATTCATATCCTCCAAGGAATCTGTTTCTTTCACGTAAGGCAGAAGTCCTACTTACATGGGCTGTAATTAGTTTCCTCTGCCTCTGCGGATCTGGAAATTCCTCCCCAAAGCACAGAGCGACCTGGTATCTTGGCAGCGGACGTCCATGGTGAGCAAAGGCTTGCAGCTCTGGGAAGAGAGAAAGGGCCATGTTGTGGGTTAACCCCAGCAGGCAGGCAAGCACCACGCAGCCGCTCACTCTCGCCACCAGGATAGGGGAGAAAACCGTAAGGGCAAAAGTGAGAAAATTTGTGGGTTGAGAGAAAGACAGTTTAATATGTTAAAAAAAAAAAAAAAAAAAAAAGAAAAAAGAAGAAGACAAAACAAACCAAAGAAGAACAAGTGATGTAAAAAGCAATCATTCACCACCAGCCGACTGATGCCCAGCCAGTCCCCAAGGAACAGCAACCTCTGGCAAACTCCCACCCCAATTTTACTGCTGACCTCAAGGTCATACAGTAGGGAATATCCCTTTGGTCAACTTGGGTCAGCCCTCCCAACCTGCTGTCCACCCCAGCTTACTTGCTGTGGGAGCAGAGTGAGAAACGGAGAAAGCCTTGACACTGTGCAAGTACTGTTCAGCATTAGCTGAAACATCCCTGTGCCATCAGCACTGTTTTGATCACAAATCCAAACCATAGCACCATGGGCTGCTATGAAAATTAACTCTATCCCAGCCAAAACCAGTACAGGCCAGTAAAAAAAGACTTCATGGAGGTCTGAGCTCCAAATGGATGACCCTGGAGCACAGTTGGAGAAGATGAAGTAACTCCAGGGGAGGATGAGAGCGGTCAGGAAAAAGACAAGAGGCAAGCAGAAGCCATTGATTTTGGATACTTTCCCAGATTGGAGGGAGGTAGTTATAACACTGCAACTTTTCTATTTGCCTTGCTTCACAAGTTATTTCATATGCACCAACTGGGATGTCTTCCACTTAGCATTTCTATTGGGCCTTGACAGCAGAACCTCCTGCAGCAGATGCTGGTGGTAGCTGGGACCCATTCAAGCAGACACCCAACAGCCACACTGAAACCAATGGCTTAGTAGAGACAGGGACTGAAAGTCAGTCTTTACCCTGCCAGCCACGGAATTCAGTCTCAGCTGGACACAGTCATGGAGCCATTGTTGTCACTGTGACTAGTTGAGGACGGGGAGGCCAGGGAAGGTGAAGGACCTTATCCAAGCCATGCACTGAGCCAGCAAAAGAGCCTGTGTCTTGTGTGCTCCTGCACTCTCTTCACTAACCTACACCCTTGCACAAAGAAAAAAGGTCAAATTATATAATTATTCCAATAGTCAGTCTCCCCTGTGAAAGATAGCAGGGGAGGCCTTTATAAGAGACATGCATCCAGATCAAAATCACTGTCGTGTTTTAGTCACTGAATTTCCTTCCAGAAAAAAACTCCATCTAACACAATATCCTCGTTAAAGTCTGCATTATGTGCAGTATTTCTACATAGTTGATTCATGAAAATTTCATTTTAATTTATAACCCTTTTCATGCTTTCTGGAAAAAGTTGAAATTAATATTAAAACCAACGTCTTATAATGAAGCACCCCCTGCTATACAGGGAAAGGATAGTCTTTGAATTTGGCATGACAAACGCATCTTTTCCCAAAATACACCCCCGCCATTTCTACTCTAACTGCAAGTTTTTCAGACCAAGGTGTGAATCCAGTGGCTACCACAAGTGTCCCAACCCTGGCTTGGGACTACTGATCTCACTGGGAAGGTCAGTTGTAAGATTGAAACAATGGGCAGCTCACTTAAAACACAGAGTAAAGCATAGCTCTCCACAGGGTCTCCCTCAAAACCCTGCTTTTTGTCTTTTTTTTTTTTTTTTCCCCTTTCCCCCCAGTTTTCTTTGGCCCCATCAATTCTCCAACTCCTGAAAACCTGTGGGAGTGCTCCACAGCAGCCTGTGGCACGGACCTGGAGAAGAAAGCCCTTTCTTTCCCAGCAACAGGATAATCAGGGCTTGATGTCAGCCTCATGCTTCACCAAAACCCTCCACTCACTCCGTCTCCCTTCCCAGGCCCAAGCGTCTCCTCCAACACCACGGGGTTCTCCCGATGCCTTCCCACACCTTCCCCATCTCCTGCCACTCCAGATCCAGTCATCCCTCCTTCTGCCAAGCCAACCCTCCTCTGGCTGCTGCCCTCATGCTCCCAAGATCTCTTCCTCTATCCTCCTACTCTCCACCCAGCCCAATTTACTGCATTTATTACGCACTGCTCCCCAGAGACCATCCACCTGGTTTCTGATTTATTGCCATTTACTGTCATTTTAAGCTTCTCAGCAGTACAGGGTGCTCAACACAGGCCTCAATGCTCTGGTGCAGTTTGCATTGCAGGGTCCAGCTTCTCAATGGGGTCCTAATAGCTGTGGTCCATAGCAGTTCTGCATCTGTCTCTTTCTCTGCTGTTTAAGATTTCCTCTCCTGGTAGACATCTCCTGTCTCTCTTCCCCAGGAAGGCCCAGTTTCCTGAGGGGGGAATCCCTAAGCTTGCCTGCAGTCTGGGATCTCAGTACATTCAATTAACATGCATGCCCATGGCAAGTCACCTACAAACCTAGCTGAGCATCAACACATGCAAAAACTCGTTTTGCACACAGCACAGACTATGACTTCAACCACATGATTGGGTTTGCACAGGCACTGGTGCATAAGTAATTTGGGGCAGGGGGGAATAACTATTGCTTGAGCTTATCTTTGGTGTTAGAAGTCTAAAAACAGATGTCCTGTCAACTGTTTGGAAGAACCCAGAGTATATCTAAAAAAACACCTGAGAAAAGGGAAAGGGATTTCCAAAACCATCATCAGAGACAGAATTATACATCTTTAAATTAGCATGTGATTGAAGCCCAAGCCCATACCCTGACCTCAAATTCCCCTTTCTAACTGTCATTTCTCACATCCATATGAGATTTCTCTCTTTAAATGCATTCCTTGCTTGACCATTTTGCTAGGATGGTGCAACAGCCCTGGAATATAAAGTACGCTACAGCTGTTGGTTTGGGTTTGGTGGGTTTTTTTTCAGTTTTGCAATGCATTATTCTCCTGAGAGAGTCGTGCTGGTGCTGATACCCTGTTCTAATGGGAAAACACATGCACAAAACATAGGCACACAGTTCACCTATAGCAATGCCACACTTCTCAAAAAAGGGCCTGCTGCCCAAGCTGTCCTCTGGGACAATGACTGGGTCTCACTGGTTTCTCTGGGTGGACAGCTTTCCTCCCTCGTAACTGCTCAGAAATGCTGGGAAGTGGGGTTGAGGGTCTTCCTCTTCCCTCCACAGGCTGAAAGCAGAAGGCACCGTCCAGACACATGCCCTTGCTCCCTCTGTACTGCCCTGTGCAAATCAAGACCTTCCCACAGAGCTCTGGAGAGGTAATGCACCTCCTTGCTTAGAGTATTAGGCAATCCTGAAACTGCAGAGCTCGTGAAATCCTTTTTTACACTCTGAGATATCTTTTAAACACTGGCACAGACTGAAAAGAAGGCTTTCTACTGAAATTCATGCTGGTATTTGTATACTCTGATCAAGATCTCAGGCTCGCTTTGTGTCAAGTTGAGAGCAGTATGAGTGCAGACCACAGACTGATCCAGGACTTAGACTAGCAGATCCAACATCAGGATCCATTTTCCTCTGTCACTCAATTTGTAGAAAGACTATTTGGTTAGGTTCCTCCTTACGCTTCTTAAAGAGGTGAGCGGTTTTGGGTATCACCAGCTAGGCACCAGTGCACTCTTGCTGGTTTGTGCAGGAGCATCGAATGTGCACTGAGAGCAGAATTTACAGGATTATTCAGGAGCCAGCTACCCCCTGACTGCGCTTACCCAGAAGAAGTAAGGGGTAATTCACAAGGTTACACGAAAAGAGCACTCCCATAAAGCTGATATAAGAGTCATCTGGTGACACCTCCAGAAATTCTATCAAAGCCATAGCGGGAATTACCTGCTAAAAACTGCTGAGTATCAAAGAGCTTGCATGTCTGGTCCCGCTCCAGCTTGTTGGGTCGGTCACTGCAGAGTGCCAGAGGTCCGTCCCAGTAGATCCTGCTTTGGCAAAGTCTCTTAGCATAGAGGCCGTCAGGTGCCATCCACAGTATTACTCCTCGTTCCAGGTGGTTCAGTAGCTTTTCTATGTTCTTCCTCTGGCCATTATCCTCTGGATAAGGGAAGATAACTTGCTCCAGGCTGCTGACCTCATAACTTTGGCCATGGGATATCCTACAACCTTCAGGACTAGAAGTTGTCACCTCCTTTACCAGTATTTCACGGTAATATAAGCAGATATGGAGCCGACAATCTACAAGGAGTAAAAAAAAAAAAAAGAAAAGAATCACTGTGATAATTAGTACAAATGTTTTCTGTTTCAGATCTGTACTAAGGCCAAGAGACAAGTTTGCATGATATTTTGGAGCCTGGTGTCACCACCGCCCAGAAGATAGGCGCACATTAGCAAAAATCATCTAAAGAATATGAACACTACCACTTTCGGGGCACAGTAGCATTAATGCTCTCTGATTTTATTATAACGGCTACTGATGTGGGAATTTGGTAGGAACTAACATCCCACAAACTCCACACTTCCGCTTAAAAGGAAAAGTCTGCACACAAAAAGTTGTTCGCGTACGCTTGTCATATTTTCCAGGTTCACGTCACAATTAAACCCACTGGCTCAGTACACTTCCTCAGATTTAATCAGGAAGTAGCTGTGTTTCTCCCCAGATTTTGCATGAGAGGCTTCTGCACAGAGGACCTGCAAATTTGCACTCAGCTGCCTGAAGAGAAGCGACTGCTGGCTCCAGCTCCAACAGGGCTGCAGCCAAAATCCCCAGCTTTACTTTCAAATGGCTGACCCCTAAGAACACACACAGCACTAAAAATACATATATATAAAAATATGTGTGTATATACATATATATACACACACACACATATATCTACATGCATACAGACCCTGATTCAGGAGAACAATCCCACTTAAGAAACCTGCCAAGTGTCATCTTACAGGTTTACCCTTTCTTACTGTGAAAAGCACATTCCCACACCTTTTCCCAGAGTTACTCAGAAAGTCCCCCAGTACCCAGATGACTGCAAACCTGGCTGAAATAACATCTCTTTTCTTTCCTGAATGCCTTTTTTTTCACCAGGAATAATGAAGCAGAGCAAAGCCAGATGGCACCAGCACGAGCACAGCAAGGTACCCAGGTAACACTAGTTTTCTGGGAGGGTCCTCCCAAATGAAAACTCACTGACCCCTCAAAATTTCCAAACTCCCCTGCGAAGGCCTGATTTGGTGGCTCACCAAAGCAACCCAGCACTAACACTGTGAACCAGTGAAGCACTTCTGCTAACTTTAACCATCTCCATCCCTTAAAGCTGGGTCTAAAAGTGCTTAAGTATCCTGGAAAACAGAGGCTTAAGCCCATACACTATATTGATCCATTAAAGAGGTTTCTTTTTCTTTTTTCTTTTCACCAGAAAGGAGAGATGTTGCCAGGGCAAGTCAGAAGTGGGAGTACCTTGTCAAGCTCCCCAGAAAGCCCAGGGGGTTACGGACCTTACCTGACAGGGCGAGAGCTTCACCAGACCTTATGCTTGGCTCAATCGGGATGCCAGGAGTCTGGGACTCAGGAGGGGCACAAGCATAAAAGCTTCCTGTCACCTGACAACCTGTTTTCACAAACAAAAGTCAGTGACAGCTGCCTAAATCCTAAAGGAAAATCTCAGGCAGAGATCACAGTGATGCAAAAGCGAGTTTTTCTGGACCGCACCAGGAACTTTCTCTCATCCCCCCTTCTTCTTAAAAAGGTCCTACTTCCCAATTTTTCCAGGTATGCCAACTCTACCAACCTCTCCAGATGTTATTTGGACTCTATTTTTATTTGGGTCTGCACGAAATACTCCCTTAGCATTTTGGTATTCCCCTTTGCCCTTTTTGCTTCCCTAATGTGTTATTCTATTCTGCAAATAATTTACATTTTTAACTAGACTACAGTGCTCTTACAAATTGCCTGCATAAAACTATCCATTTTGTAAAAGGAATTTTACTAAAGGTGGATGTAACGATAAAGCTGGAATTAACCCTGTTAAAAAGTAGGTAAAGAAAATTGTGCAGCAGGAGATTATTAGGGTTTTATTACCAAAACTACTATTAGACTGTTCCGAGAGATGCCTTTCAGGAAGTGGATTATAACATGGGCAATTGATGTTTTCTCTGTTTCTTAATGACAATAAAAGTCTTTGGAGGATGATGCAAGTGACTTGCAGACAAGCGCACATTACCTTTTCCAATGGCAGAACCCACCATGATCAGGAGCTGGAGCAATGTGGATACAAAACACCCAAGTCCCTTCACAGCCCAATGAGAAATCTACTACCAGCCACTAAGAACTGCCTCCAAATTCAGCAAAGCATCTGAACTTATGTTTAACTGCTGCAGAAGATATACTCCAGGGCAGAGTTCATTCAGCTTGCTACCTCAGTTTTTTATTAGCAAATAGCTCAAATAAAAGCAAAGGATTCCGCCTAATAATTCCAATATCCTGCCAGCAAAAGTTGCAACGCACTGAGCACTTACTTTTTAGCAGACCCAAAGATTTCTCTGCACCAAAACCTCTAGAGATCTGTCCTCTGAAAATCTAGTATCTGCTCTAAGAAGTCCTTCCTCACTTCTCAGCCTTTCTGGTCCTTCTGAACCAGCTGCTTCTCCTCACGAAGCAAAAGCCCGCATCCTCAGGTGAGTTACCCTGCAAGGGTATATGGCACACAGTTCCCTTTCTCTTACATTTTATCCCCTACAGGCTCGAGCGTTGCCAGGTTTCACAATTCAGGGTTTTTCCTAAGGATGCAGAGCTTGGAAAGCCATGATTATGTCAGGCTCTGGTACTGTGAGATCTTTGGGGAAGGGAACGTCCCTTTATTCTGTTTCTGCTGTACCAGCCCCAAGAGAGACTCAATCCATGACAAGTTGTCCCATTGCCAGAGCACTAAAATAAAGTAATAATTTCAGCTTTCCTCTCAGGAGAATAATGCCACTGTAACACACAAGGCTGGAGGGAAAATCTCACTGGTGTGTGCCTCAAAAGGTCCAAAATCAGAAAGCAAAGCTAAAGGACACATGCTCCCATTCGAGGTTTGAGGAGGCGGTTGGTTGCCTTCTTATTGCTCAGGGCTTTTGAGACAGCTGAGGACTTTTGGGGCTGACTTGTATCAACTCGGAGGACTGAATAGCCCACACACCGCATGTACGGTGGCAGTGAATACAAGAGCCAGACAAAGGCTCTTGCCACAGATGCTGTAGCTCTCTTTGAAGGGAGCCCAGCACTCCTCTCTGGCCACTTCTGTTAATTCCTGCCAAAGCCATGAATAAGAAACCTGAAATCTGCAGTCCTTCTAGGTGACCAACCCCAGCGAGCAACCCTAAATGTCTTACCATTTTCACAGCCAGGCCCTTGCCAGTGATGACTGCGAGCTGCAAAGGGG